TTACCAGTTATCTCCGTACTCCGATTTGATTCCGTATTGTACTCATTACTTTTCCGTACTGATTCCGTACTTTCCGTACCTCGTTAAATAATTCCGTATTGTACTCATTATCTCCGTACTCCGATTTGATTCCGTATTGTACTCATTATCTTTCCGTACTCCGATCAAAATCCGTATTGTATTCATTAATTTCCGTACTCGTTGAAATCCGTATTGCAATCATTATTTTCCGTATTCCGAGTTGATTCCGACTAATCATATCCTGTTTTTTTCTCTGTATTTAACCATAGGGCGGACTCGTTGTAATATTAATCTTTTTCCTTTCCTTTATATTTTTACTCTAGGGCGGACCCATTGTAATCACCACGAGATCCCTTGTATTCGTTCCTGAATAAACCTCGTTCACGTCGATTTTGCCTTTAAACACCTGTCCGATTTATTTCCGATCCTCCCAAGCGATTGATTCTACTGAGTAATTAAGATCTTGTCCTCCTTTCCTCCCGACGGCCCTGGAGCTGAGCATATTCGGCAAGTAGGAGGAACGGAGGATCCCTTTTTTCCGATACACAGCACGTCAAACACCGACCAAAAGAACGCTAGCTCTTCCGACCGATTAGTCAGAACCGCGCGTCTGATTAAGTTCCGCGAAGCATAAACGGATTTCGGAATCCCGTCCGAAATCCGGAGACCAGAACCGGGGAGAGCAAAGCGGCTTCGTTACAACATTACAGACGGATCATCAACCTTTACAGTTTATTTTTGGTCGAAATAGAGGCATTCCAGTGACGGCAGCCGCACGTATTACTCGCTGGGCTTTAGCACTATCGGCATATGATTATGAAATAGAGTATAAACCGAGTAAGATGGTCGCAAATGCAGACGGACTGTCCAGATTACCGCTACCGTCAGGAACAGAAGTCGCAGGGTTTTTGTACTCATTTAGTGCAACTAATTGTATACCGCTCGATGCAGACGAAATTGCAACCGCAACTAGGAAAGATACAATACTCGCCAAAGCCGTCGAACTAACGCTAATAGGATGGCCAAAGGAGATTACTGATCAAAACCTCAAAGCGTATTATCAAAAACGTCATGAACTCTCGGTAGAAGGTAATTGTCTATTAGTGGGTACGAAGGTTGTAATTCCAATAGCGTTAAGAAGTAAAGTCTTGAATTTGTTTCATGAACAGCATGGGGGAATAGTTCGAACTAAAATGCTTATGCGAGCGTATTGTTGGTGGCCGGGGATAGATGACGCAATTGAAAAGTTCATTTCAGCATGTGAAGTTTGTCAACGAAGGCGAAACTTTTCTAACACTAGTGCTCTGGTCTCATGGCCCACAGCTACTACTAATTTTCACAGAGTGCACATTGATTTCTTTCACAAGTATGGGTATACTTTTTTGATTTTGGTTGACAGTCGATCTAAATGGTTAGAGGTTAAAATAATGACCGAACGAACAAATGCAACAGAGACGATATTAAAATTAAAGGAAATTTTCTCTGTTTTTGGATTACCATTAGAACTAGTATCAGACAATGGACCACCTTTCAATTCTATAGAATTTATTTCATTTTGCCAAGCCAATGGTATCACTCCAATCAAATCACCTCCGTATCATCCGCAGAGTAATGGTATGGTAGAACGCGGAGTACAAACAGTAAAGAAAGGTCTGGATAAAATTTTGTCAAGTGAGAGGGGAAAGATGTTGAGTAAAGAAGTAATACTCTCTAGTTTGTTTAGTTGGCTGTTCACTTACAGGGTCACACCATCCAGTACAACGGGGATATCCCCTGCGCAAGGTTTCTTTAAAATGCGACCAAGAACTAGGTTTGACCTGATTAAACCATCCTGTTGCAAACAACAATTCAAGAATCAGTGTCAGTCTAAAGGAAACACACAACTGTATGTGTTAAACCAATCGGTATTCGTTAAGAATATTCAGTCCAAAATATGGCAACAAGGTACAATCATACGAGTCCTTAGTTATTGTACTTATTTGGTCCAAGTAGCTGAAGGAGTAAAATTGGTGCATGCTAACGACTTACGTGCGAATAAGGGGGGGACTGAGTACCGGCATAACTGACGCAAATAACAAAAACGGGGGTGTAACTCACATGGGTAGTACAAGTACCCGATATATGATTCCTGAACCGATAGATATTAAGACTAAAGAAGCAGGTAGTCCAATAGATACTACAACTACCCATGTTAGGGTGGATTCTACGGCAAATAAAGATCTAGTGAGTAAGAGATTGGATGACAAGAATGTAGAAGTGCGCTCACCCGTTAATATGTCTATGAGGAAACAAATAGAATCACCGGAGAAGGACAAAGTTGATATGTCAGTAACAACTCGCTCAGGTAGGATTGTAAAACCACCGTCGAAATTAAATTTATAAGATTTTTATATGATTATCCATAAGATATGATGTTTCCAAACTTTGAGAAGGAAGGAAAATGTTATGTAGCCATGCGAATAAGATCTTAGCATAAGTGCTAGTGTGCTTGCGCCAGAAGGCGCTGCTGCGTGATACACCTATCTATATAGATTATATATCCTAAGCATCTGTATAAGAGAATCCGACGTCTGTAAATAAAGAACTGTACGACTTGATAATACCAGTGTACACCAAATACGGATAGTCCCTTACTGCCTGGGAGTCACCTGTAACTCACAAGTGAGGAACACAACACTATGAGACTAACGGGTGGCCTACGGATATGGAAAACGTTCATGAAAGTGGAGTGAACGATCTTTCGGGAGATTTAGCGAACTTCGAAGGAAATTATGATATTGGTCAGTCTATTGCAAGGGCACAAGATTATAATGGACAGGCAGTGAATTCTTCAATAAATATACAAGAAATCGTGCAGGCGGTAATACAAGTGATGGAAGAGAGACAGCGAGTGCAGAGCGGGACGGGAGGCTCATTTCCCGCTGCAAGTGGTAGTTCTGTCATGGAAAGGAATGCTGGAAATATGAACTGGCAACAAATTAAATTCGCAACACAATTGATTCCCACATTTGCCGGTAGAGAAGACGAAAATATTGTTAGATGGTTGGAAAGGATTGCATATGTGGCTCAAATGTACGAATTGAAAGACGAAGTGTTGGTCCTGGCGGCGGTCTCGCAGCTTAAAAATCGAGCACAAGAGTGGTACAATCGTCAACCGATGGAATCAGTGGCGACCTGGGAGAATTTGAAATTTCATCTTCGCAGACATTTCGAGGTGAAGGAATCGTATACAGCTACTCTGGCAAGGATTGGACAACGGACGTGGAAAACATACTCGGAGAGATTCATCGATTACGCTGAAGACAAGTTGGGGCTGATGCAAAATTTGACTTAACGGAAAAAGAAAAGATTGAGTTACTGGCAGACGGAGTAAGAGATCCAATTTTGAGAAGATTAGTGTTGAGCACATGGATAACGAACATTCCAGATTTTATCGAACATGTACGGCGAATAACAGAAGATTCGGTAATGCCAAGGAGAACTGAGGTAAATACGAGATTTGGAAGACACGATCGTTTTCAAAGTTCTTTCCAGAGGAGGAAGGAGGAATCCCGGCCAAATGTATCGGAAAAGATTTGCTTCACATGTAAACAACCGGGGCATATTTCAAGGGAATGTAGTCATCGCAAACCAGTGTGCTTCCGCTGTAACGAGGAAGATCACATTAGCCCTATGTGTCCGAAGAGGGGAACGAATACAACCGAGCAAGTCATGTAATCGAAGCAAGGACGGAGGACGATCAACGGTCGGAGGCCGAGACGATGTCCACGATTTTTGCAAGTGATTTGGATTCCCGTACTAAGGATAAGTCGTGTATTTTTGTAAAGAGTTTTGCAGTTCCGCATTTTAGTTTAGAGTCATTAATTGATACCGGTAGTTACGTTAGTTTAATGCGAAAATCAGTCTATATGAAATACTATAGCAATAGAGAAATACAGGAAATTGGTGACGAAATTAAATTGAAAGGGGTAAATGACACTACAATAGTGGTGTTAGGGAAATGCAGGATCAAATTATGTTAGAGGGATTGCCGGATAATTGGTTGCATATAAAATTTTTAATAGTTGAAGATTACACTATGAAATATGATCTGTTATTGGGTAGAAAATTTTTCCAAGAAGCTAATTTAACGTTAATTTATCAGCATGGTAATTATAAGTTTGATATTGGAGATAAATTTACTCATTCGATATTCAATATAGATGTTTTTGAAGAACCACAAAAATATGATAATATTGATGATAATTTTGATAAAGACGTGCCTTTCACTTTAAAGAAGCAAGTTATAGATGTTTTTCACTCAGTAGACAGAATGCAATTTGATTCAATCAATAATGATTATTGCGCTAAAGTATATTTAAAAGATGAATCGCTTTTTCGGTACGCTCCGCGTAGAATGTCAGATAATGAGAAAAAAAGAGTTAGATCGCATAGTTGATGATTTACTCAAGCGAAATCATCAAGCCAAGCATATCTCCATATTGTGCCAGAGTGGTGTTAGTTCCAAAAAGAGATGGAAAAAAAAGAATGTGCGTAGATCTACGGCCTTTGAATCAGAGGATACATCAGCAGAAGTACCCTTTTCCTATTATTAATGATCATTTAGATAAATTATATGGAAAGAAGTATTTCACTAAGCTGGATTTAAAGGACGGGTTCCATCAGATTGCGATACATCCAGATTGCACCAAGTATTTTTCCTTTGTAACGCATAATGGGCAATATGAGTATGTGAGACTACCGTTTGGTTTTTCTGAATCGCCAGCGGAATTCCAGAAGCATATATTAAATATATTTCAAGAACTGATACGCAATGATAAAATTCTGGTTTATATTGACGACATATTAATTGCAACCGGTGAGGTACAAGAAAATTTAGAAATTCTAAAACAAGTACTAATCATTCTTAAAAAATATAACTTGGAATTGAATTTATCAAAATGTTTATTTTTAAAACGCGAAATAGAATATTTAGGGTATATGGTTACGCAAAAAGAAATTACTTTGAGTGAAAGACACATACAGGCTATAATGAATTATCCACAACCCGGCAATATTAAAGAAGTTCAAAGATTTTTAGGTTTATGCAACTATTTCCGTAGATTTATTAAGGATTACTCTATAAAGTCAAGAGCCATACAAGAGCTGCTTAAGAAGGGAATACAGTTTGATTTCGATACCAATTGTAAAAAGCTTTTGATCAATTGAAAGGAGAGTTAGCGTCTCCACCAGTTTAGCGAATATATAATCCAACAGCAGAAACGGAATTGCATACAGATGCAAGTAGTCACGGTTTTGGTGCTATATTGTTGCAAAAGCAACAGGAAGGTTATTTCGGACCGATAGCTTATTTTAGCAAATCGACAAATGAATGTGAAAGAAATTATCACAGTTTCGAACTGGAAACTCTAGCAATAGTTAAAACAATAGAGCGGTTTCATGTATATTTGCAAGGTATTAGATTTAGGATTGTAACGGACTGCAACTCTCTAGTGCTAGCGATGAAAAAGATTAATATTAACCCGCGTATAGCGAGATGGACCTTGTTTTTACAAAGTTATCAGTACGATTTGATACACCGTTCGTCTAATAAAATGGTGCATGTGGATTGCTTGAGTCGCAACGTGATGACAATTAATCATATAACAATAGAAGATGAAATCATGTACAAACAACTAGCAGATCCGAAGTTAAAAGAAATAGCGTCTGATTTAGAATTTAAAGATAATAAGTATTTTTCGTTAGTTAATGGTTTAGTGTTCAGAAATTTCCAAGATCGACAATTATTTGTAATTCCGGAAAATATGATAAATAATATTATTCTAATTCATCATGATGAAATGGGTCATGTTGGCGTTGATAAAACTATTCAGGGGATCCTCAAGCACTATTGGTTTTCTTGCATGAAAGTCAGAGTTCAACAATATATAGAAAGCTGTGTAAAATGTCTGAGTATATCAATTGCTGCGGGGAAATCGGAGGGTAAAATGGAATTAGTAGATATTGTTCCAGTGCCAATGCACACTTTACATATAGATCATTTCGGACCTTTAGAAGTAACTACAGAAAAATATAAATATATCTTAGTAATTGTTGATGCATATACAAAATTCGTGTGGTTATACCCATGTAAATCTACAGCAACAAGCCCAGTTATTACGCATCTGTTGTCCCTGAGACATTTATTTGGATGTCCGGAGAAAATAATTAGCGATCGGGGAACTGCGTTTACATCAAACGAATGTGCCAGTTTCATGCGTGAAAACGGAATTAAACATATAATGACTGCAGTAGCGTCGCCATGGGCAAATGGTGCTGTGGAGCGCGTAAATCGTTTCTTAAAGACGACATTGTCTAAAATCGTTAATGATCCGAAAGATTGGGCAAACAAACTAGGTAACGTACAATATGTTATACATAATACATATCATAAATCTATAAATGCAACTCCTAGTATGGTATTTCTTGGATATGATCTGAGGAACAATTCGGATAGAGAACTCAGACAGTTTATAGACGATTTAATAGCGATTGATAGAAATATCGATCAGGAAAGGAGTAAGGCTAGGGATACAGCGAAAATTGTAAATCGAGCGGTTCAAGAATACAATAGAAAACAGTATGATAAGCGACACAAGAAAGCAAAAGTATACAGTGAAGGCGATTTCGTGTTAATAAAAGTGCTACAACATAAGCCAGGAGTGAACCAAAAATTAGTACCAAAGTTTAGAGGCCCTTATCAAATCAAGCGAAAATTAAAGAAAAATAGGTTTGTAGTAACCGATATTCCAGGGTATAATGTAACACAAAAACCGTTAAATACCATTCTGTCAGCGGATAAAATTAAACCATGGATTAGGATAGGAGAGAACATAGTACAAACAGCAGCGAATTTGTGATTTTAGACAGGATGTAGATAAGATTAATGTATTTCGTAGAATAGCGGTAAGATTTATATTTGGTAAAATAAGGACAAGAGTGTTAATACTTATATTATAACGATTTTATTTTATTCATATATACATTTAGACAAATAGTTCGGGACGAACTATAAAGTCGTCGGCCG